GCGGCTGTGTCTGACGACGCTGAAACACTGCCGGGCGGTGGTTGGCGAGGTCGCCAAGCCGCTCAAGAGCTACTACCTGAAGACGGCGCTGATGTGGCTGGCTGAGTCTCGTGCCGCAGATCAGTGGACGGTGGAGACGATGCACGACTCGCTGCTGCTGATCCTGCGCTACCTGGATGTCTGCCTCGCCCGCGGCTACCTGCCCTGCTACTTCTGGCCAGAGGTGAACCTGCTGGCCAGCCGGAGCGACGCCGAGCGCGCCGAGCTGGCGGCGGCCGTGGCCGAGCTGCGCCGCCGCCTGCTGCCCACCGGTCTGGCGCTGCTGGCCGACTGGCTGGGCCGGCCGGTGACCGAGCTGGGTCACACCCTGCTGAAGGACGGCCACCGCATGACGGAAAACGAGTTCCACGCCGCGACGGCCGTCAACGGCGTCCGCGAGCTGCTGAGCGGCGACTGGCGGCCGCTGAACGTGCTGAAGGACCTGGCGCTGAGCGGAAAGGTCCGGCCGTACGGCAAGCTGCCGCGGCTGCCGCTCTGCTCGGCACTCTCGCTGGGCATCGAGGCCGGCCGCGAGTACAACTGGAGGGCGAAGCAGGGCCCGTCGAGCAACCAGTCCGTCAGCAACATCATAGGCGTGCTGCAGCCGCTGATGGCACTGGCGCAGCAGGTTCGCCAGCAGCGGGACACGGAGGATAGCTGGATGTCGGGAGAGTGAGGACTGGACAGTGGACGGTCTGATGGACGGCCGCGCAGCTAGGCAGCTGAGATCTTGGATTAAACCTGCAGCGATGACCGAAAACTATTGAAGATTAGAATGATGTGTCAGTTGATCAGTCTCTGGCAGAAATTTTGGAGCTAGGGCTTAGCGGTGTCTTTCCCCAAACGCCCATCAGCCTTGCTCAAATCAGCTCGTGTATAGCAGTGTGTGTAATTGAACGCTGTCGCCTGTCGTCAATACAATACAAATGGGAAAATGGCATGATTTTTTTTTTCTCAGCAGGAGAATGGAATGGGTGGTTGCAGTTTGCACGGTCATGTACTGAGATCTATCTTACGTTGCGGTCACTGTAACTTACTGTGTCAGTATTTTATTGTTTGGCAAAATGTTGCCGATGCTGCTCCAATGCATATGCACTACACATTTCGCAGTTGGTGCACGTGTTATGGAAAATATACCTCCGGGCGACGACTGCCCGATAAAAAAGGTAGTTCGATTTCTTTAGTTTGTTTCCGTGTATAGGCAAGCTATAATAATTGTTCGACCCTCAAAAACATTAAAAGCACATTCTTGATAGCCCTTCATAGTCTTCCAATAGCCTTTTCAAGAGCTTAGTTCGAATGGAATGGGGCTTAAATGGGGACTATAAAATCCAATCTCTTTCCAAGCAATAATCGACAAGATCCTTATAACTGAGATCCACTAACGCACATGATCAATATGCCAATCTGATCGGCGAAGCTGCGCGATATTGCGTCTTTTTTCATTGAAGTTCGTTTGATCGTGTAGCCCGGCATAATGATTCGATATGAAGAGACCTTCCTATTGAAAAAAGAGGCAAGGCCCTCGCTTTGATCCAACACCGTGTGTTTTAATCGCTTGGTGGATATGACCCGAGGAATACTTCCCGGTCCGATAGCAACTAGGAGAGCACCCTGGTCAATGATTACTCTGTTTTAGCTGCTACTTTTATGCGGGGTAAAATTACGGTATTTATTATGAATCACTGAACTAAATTTAGCTGAAACCCATATTATTAAATGCGATCTGATTATGTATATTTACAACAATCGCTTATTTGTGAGTTTGTCGGCATGCCAGCTTGCATACTATTTGTATGTTTAATATTCAGGTGAACCGGACCTTGTGAAAGTCGAAACAGCTGCTTAATCCCACTTACTATTTTAAATTGAGTCTCATATTTCTCATTTCCGCCGTCCCACATAACGGGTGGTCAGTATGAAACTGGACAAAGTTTGAATTGTTACTATGTCGAAAGTTTTCAAGCGAAAGCAACTAAAATCGCGTTACCGTGCCATTATTTTGTTGTGATCACGCTCGCCCTAATGGATCTGCGACACTGGACCTCTGTCAGTCGCCAAGCGCACGCGCGCTGGCAGCCCCGCCAATGGTCTTTCGCGGCACCTCCGAGTCGATTTGACGGATGGCCTGCTGGATTCTCTGCTTCAATTGTGCGTCTCAGCTGACCTGCCACCTTCCCTTATACACTTTCTGTTTGATGAGCCCCCACAGATCCTCAATGGGCTAAATCTGAGGGGTACGTGGCGGGTTCATGTCACGTGCTATTTCAGGCACCCCAGCCTCCATGCAAGAAGTTTCGTGTTCTAGCGCGCGTACTGTGACTGTTGCAAGGTCGGAACCTAACAGAGCATCATGCTCTGTGTTCTGAGACTCAATAAGTGGTAACAACACGCCATTCAAACACTTTTCATAGCACAGTTCACCCGTTTCATTGCCTGTGCTCGGCAAGTAACTGGACGCGCGAGCCCCTCGGACTCATGGCAAGCCAGACGGGCATCTCGGGTGGGTACTTGCTCCCAGGGTGAAAGCGAAGGTGAGATCCACATGTGGAATAATGTCTCCACCAGCTGAGGTGTAAAATTCGGCAATGGAAGGCATTTTGCTGCCACTGCAGGTGAAATCAGATTCATCGTCCATATACACCTCCATGTTTTTGCTATCCTGCATTGCACCCTGTGACAGATGGCACAGGCGGTTTTGCTGTGTACGAAATTGTGCCTCCGTCACCTTTATCCTATTTCTGTACCTGATTCCTGCTTCCGGACATATTAATTGGTCATACGTTTTGAAAATTCCGAAATTTCTTCCCAGAGATCACTAGGAGAGCCCCAACTGTTCGGTGACGCACCGGTTTGTTTCTTCCGGAGCTGAATGGGCATTTTCTTGGTGATCTTGCCGTGCCCACCATGCAAAACATCTGCAATTCCTCAGAATTTATCGATGATCACATATTCTTAAGATCTGGTGAAATTCTATGGCGTAATGTGACGCATAATGGTAGCATTTTTGTAATTTGTGTTATTTTCAAAAACTTGCGCGAACAGGTCCCGGAACGCTTGCTGACTTACCGGCGCAATGTTTTCTATATAGTGAATAGCAGAAAGTTGAAATTTGAGCTGTAAATATAAAATAACTGGAAGTATTCACCTGCCAAAAATGATTAAAATCTGTCCATTATTGGAGATGCTATGCTTAATCAAATTTTGTCCAGTTTCATTCTGACCACCCGTTACATACACTTTGCGAGCCTCTGTCTCTCGTTCGTCGTGCCACAGGCCTCTGATTTTCGTGCCCCGTGTCTTTATTTCCCGCTTTCCATATCTCCCCTTCACCGTCTCCATTCCTCTACTTTTCCGTGCAAAGTCTCTGAGTTGCCGTGTCCCGTGTCATTATTTTCCGTTTCCCAGCTCTCGTTTCCCGTGTCCCCGGCGTTGTGCGCAGCGCTGAACGTGTCTCCTGCCGGCTATGTCTGTATCCGTGTCTCCTGCCGTGCCGCCGCGCCGGCCGCCCCTGGGTCGTGTCGCCAGCCACTAACGAGGCCCCCCGGCCGGCTGATGACCCGTCACAATCCGGTCACAGTCACGCGCCCCGGTCCATCAGGGACAGTCAGCCATCAGGGGCGCCGCGAGCAGATCACGGCAGGACGGCGTCCTCGGGTGGCACAGCTGGTGTAAAAAAAGGGAAATTTAGAACGGCTGGTTTATGATGCACTAAATATATAATCACAGGATAAACACGCAATTTGCCACTGGTTTTGGACAGGTGTCTAGTTTGTTACATGTATGTTGTAAAACATAGAAGTGGCAAAAAGTGGACCCAACAAACCGTATTTAACCCTATTAGTGGCAGGGGGGTTGTTTTTATCCACCCCTCAGGTTTTTCGGGAATATCTCCGAAACCGCTGAAGCTACGATGCTGAAATTTTCTGACTTTTCCTAAAACTAAATTGGGCACATTCCCTGAAAATTTCAAGTTCATAACTTTACCAGGGGCGGCTCCAGAGCACTGGGAATTGGGGGTCCTATTCGTGAAGCGAGTCATTTGGGCGAAGATCACGATGCTGCACCAGTTTTACGAACAGTGAATGAAAGGTATCATGTGATAACAGATACAAAGTTATTGTGCATCCTCTTGACACGTTTTTGCTATAATAGGCGGATCCAGGCGTCCAAAAAGGGGGGTTATTTTTTACCTCCCAACATAGGTGCCCTGACACCGCCTATGCATGACCAATACAATTTTAGTCGTTCTCTCATAAGAAAATTGTAATATAACAAGACCATTGCCACCCTTTTTAGAAACAGTACCAACAAAAACCTTATTTACTATACTTTTTGTGTACCCCCATTCTCAATGATCTGTATCCGCCTATGATTTTTGAAAATGCATATTTTTAGGATCCATGTGAATTCCTGGTTCATTCTCTATCGATCGGCAAAAGTTGCGTTAAGATTGGTTCAGAAACCTGGCCGTGATAAACAGTCTAAAATGTATCTGCAATTTGCCCGTTTTTACCCCCCTCTACCCCCCTATTGACATTTTTTAATTTTATTTTTTTTAGAAATGTAGATCTCGTTGAGCCAAATCGAATGCCGTTTGAATTTTGAAAATCGGCCGGCTAGATCTCGAGATATCAAGGGGGGGGGGGTCGTAAACTGCCACTAATATGGGGTAGCCAGGAGCCTGCCACTAATAGGGTTAAAGCAGCATAAGCCCAACTTAATATTGGCCGAGGCCTGAGCCCTAACCGTTCCACGGAATTCTTGAAATTCGACCTTTTTTAGTCTTGCTCCATTGTTCTCCTTTTCCCATCTATACCGTGTAGGCTGACCTGCGCCTGCAGACCTACGACCCCTGACCGGTGCGCCCCGCCTCCAGGCCCGCCAGACCTGCCCAGCGACAGCGGTGGTCGATCAGCAGAGGTGTGACCTGACCTCTGACCTGTGACCCCTGCCCCCAGGTCCGCCGGGACTGCCACACCGACAGCAGTGGTCCAACACGTCACGAATCCTATTCGTGGCTCTGGCCGCCGTGTTCCTGGCCGTCGTCGGGAGCCTGGCCGGCTGCTATTGTGAGTATCCATACAGGCTGGCTGGTACAGGAGCATCCATAACTGGCTCGTGGGACGGGTAAAACTATTGTACGCTTATTTACCTTGCATTTATATGCAAAAAAAAAGCATATGAACTGAACTGAGATTTTCACGACATAACATCTGTAAAATAACAAGTTTTTTTTTTTGTTAGTCTTAGATCGCCCTTCTTTTGAGTAAGAACAGTCAGCTTCCATGTCTTCTGCTGTATGCCATCCATATATCTGGATTGCAACTGTGAAAGCACTCACATAGATAGCCGACCTAGGATATACTACCCGGGCCCGATTTCACCAAGTGAATATATTCCATTACGGCGGCGTACATATCACTTTTGGCATATTATGACATATTCAGTTTCACTAAACTCCGTACAGGGATACTTATTCAAGACAAAGACAAAGTATGACTGCATATGTCCGTTGTTTTTTGGCATGCTATTACATTTGAGGTACTTCTGGTACGCCGATCTGCTTTTTCAACAGCTGTTTGCCGAGTTTGCTGGCATTGAAAGTATGCTACTTTTTGTGGCATACTTTGAGAAACAGCTTGGCATACATCATTTTTTTTTTGTATGATAATGTTACAAATTTAATGACTTCGTCGATGCAACGTATGATAAAAACATGCCACAGGCTACGCAAAAAGTTTTTGATGTCATAATGGTTATTTCTTGCTGGATATATAGGGTACCGTGTGTCAGGGCTTATATTGAAATTAAACCCCAGAACAGCTATTTTTATAAGGCTTATCTCATCGTGGCATCACTGCGATTAAAATCACCCCATCATGCAGAAACACAAAAGGGAATTCCTTTTTTTCATTCGCATTCCCAATTGCATTGAGTTTTCCACTTAAAAAAAACGACAGTTCACATTGTATTTTGATAACACAAAAGGCCAAAAGCGTTACAAATCTATCTCACCGTGATTATTACACCGTGCTCTTTATACAGCGTTTTACCGAAGAGGAAGTAAATAACTGGCGAGGGCGAGAGGAAGGACTGAAGTCCAGTCCAGCAACGCCTTGTTGACATGCCCAGTAGGGTGTCTCGAAAGTGGGGTCAAAAAAATTAATTCACTTCCTATAGCAAAAACCACTTGCATCTAGCCTTATTATGACATGAAATGATGATTAAAAAATTTTCATTTAATGTTAAGAACCAGCGCACCTCGTCTATTGTAACCCTTTCCTGACAATTTCAGGCGTTGCAGTCTCCATAGGCTTTCTTCGGTGTTATTCTCACGTAAACCGTGTAAATGCGTTCTCGCTTCAGCTTGCGATCTTTCAACGAATCAATACATTTGTTGCATAAACATTTACTAAAACACTTTCCTAGCGCAACATATCCAAAAATTGCTACCTGAGTGATAATCATCCTGCTGACAGTAGGTTATGCTAAAAGCTAATATCCATGTCGCTGACGAGGTAAAATGCAGTAAGAATGCCAACACACATGATATACGGCGTTTTCTACGCTTCTGTCTTGCTCTTGAGCGCACTCCATTCCATTTTTTTTTGTCCGGATAAGTGGGAGGTCGAGCCTTGACTTCGCACGGCTGACAATGATATCGGCCGTCATGGCCGACACGCTTCTGCGACACTCTTCTGCGCTAGCAGCATTCCTCTGCTTCAGGAATCATCGGAGAACATCGCTTCTCCACGGAAGCTGCGTGCGAGGAAGACTAGCGATCCAGATTTGCATTTTTTTTTGGGGGGGGGGGCAACTCATGTACCTAGGAGCCAAACCTAGCGTAACCCCAAATCCTATTTTCTCATCGGATTTAGGCCAGTTATTTTTCGTCACAGCCCTGACACGATGAACATTTTTTTTTAATTAGAAAGAAAAAATATAGAAATGGTAACCCACCCGACCCATGCCTTTATATCACTTTGTATAAACACTTCACATTGCTTTTGTCGACCAGTTAACCCGCTCCGGGTCGATGCTTGGCGCAACCTTTGCGGGCCGGGAGGTGGTAAAACACCCCCTGTTTAACTCGGCTCCTGGGCCACGCACTGATTGAACTATGTTTCATTATCGTTGGGGGGGGGGGGGCAAACAGGCCACTTTAGGCCTTTGAGGGGGCATAGCCCTAAATGCCCCCTCCCTGCAGATCCGCCAGTGTAAGAGACCATTGGAGATGGAGGAAGCTCTGCTGGGTGGACATTCAGGACCGGGACCACGGTCTGGTTACGGGTACTTGGACCGGGCTTTGCCATGGCCTGAGAATGAATGAGTAACTTCACCACCAATGCATACATCGACAGTCGACACCATCACGAGAGTTCAATCAACACTGGCGCGGCCGCAGCCCCTCGAGGTGAAACTCACCAAGCCTCCAGGCGGCTGCGGGCGTCGTTCTCGTCCTCGCCAAGTGGCAAGTAGGCTCTGGACACGAGACGGCTCACAATTGTGGCTTGGGTACTATGATTATGGTTAGAGCAGACGAAAGTTATCACTGTCCTGCTGCCGCGGTCGGGCTCGAGGGGCTCGAGTGTCGACTAGGCGTCTGTGGCGCTAGCGTGTCTGGTCCGAGTTCCGACTGAGATTATGGGCTGGTGCCGGACGTGGTTTGCCCAGAGTTTAGCTGCGCTGAAGCGAAGGTCGCATTACAGGCGTGACTTTAAAAAGTGTATCGACAACGTCTACACTAAATAAAGTCAATTAGCTACTGACCTGAAACTACGCTTAAACTCTTCACCCACGAACTCTGCCTGAGACTTTCGTGAAAACCACCGTATTATTACTGCCACTAACACCAAGCAAAACCAATGGAGACTGCAACGCCCGAAAAGTAGGTGCAAGCTTTTGGAAATCGCGACTGCGCTTGTTGAAGACAATGGCTCATAATTTTTTAATTGCGATTTTCGAAACCAGCAGACTCGATTGCAAATGTTTTGGGCTATAGGCATGTCAACTTTATTTTTCGAGACACCCTAATGCCCAGCATGTTGCATCACAAGTCACAACGCATTCGTTTACATTCGTTTTCATCGCCCACTTTTGCTATTTCTTTGCAGTACCCATATGCTGTCCAATGTCCATATTTTTTTGTGTGTGTTGTGGCCAAATGATTCAATTTATCACCGGCTTCCCGCTTCCGTTCAGGTTCAGTCTGCCGAATGATTCCGAAATATTCTCCATATTTGAAGTCGTCGGTATACCCTTCGATTATTTAAAAACTTGATTCAAGTAATATTTCAGATAACTTGTCGGCTAGTCGGCCGTGCTCCTTGCTATCGTCAGTGATCGGTAGTTAGATAGGTATAAGATAGGTGCCTCAAGTAATGCCATTTCTTGTTCGACTTTATTTATATTTGCTTTGAACCACTCCAGAATTGCGTAGAAGATGTGAACAAATATTGAAGCAATATCTAATGAGAAGTAGCTTGGAAGAAAAAATTAATATCAATTCAAAATCCAATAAAACCCACACACGCCAGTAACGTCAACTGTGCTGCGCGGCTTGCTGCCGATTGTTTACATTTTTGGCTTTGGAATGTCGTGCTCCCAGCAAAAATCAAGAGCATTATTAGCAATATTTGTTTAGGTACTTCCTCTTGTATGATCAGCAAATTTAATTCTTATTAGCGTAGCTAGAAATTTTTTCCATAATATTGTATATCTGAGCATTTAAGCTCGTCGACTTTAAATACGGAAAAATATAGTGACTGCATGTCCCCGACAAGAAAAGATATATGCATGCGCGCCGGTGGCTTCCAAAGTACGTAAAGCGGGCGTATTGAATATATTCCTGTGGCGAAACCGAATAGTATTATCGTTGTACTTTGTCGGTGTACTTTTCCAAAGTACACCAAGAATATATTCACTTGGTGAAATCGGGCCCCGGATGTTTGATGAGACTTTGAAGTGGATTGGTATATAGGCTGTCCCGGAGGGCACGAAAGTAGTGCGGCACAGTCTAACTTTCATAATACATTCCTGATGGGGAGCAGGTTATGAAACAAATAATAGACTGCATCCGGTATCTTATTAACTGTTGCTGTGTACTGTGGATAGGATATTACCCTTTCTGAAGCCCTGCACAAAACAATTTTTATTTCATTGGTTTGGTTCATTCGCTTTGAGCACCGTTCATCCTGACACGATCAGACAAGGTTCCATCACCTAACAAGTGCGAACATTTAGTCTACGAGGAAGCACATAGGTATATGGCAATGCATCGTATAGCACATTTGGTCGTTACGCGGCTGTCCAAGCTGTCAAATATGTAACAAATATACATAAAACTGTCCCAAATGCTGAGTGCCTGGAACTGAATGTTCACTGATGACTGCCGTTTTCCCGGCCGACAGACAACGTGTATCAGCGTAAGAAGGTGATGGGCCGGCGTCGTGACCTGGCCAGCGGCGGTCTGCAGTTGAACCGACTCCGCGGCTCGGCAGGAGATATTCTCACAGAGTACAACCCCAACTATGAGTTCGGCGGCGCGCTGCCCTGCACCAAGGACCTGCGCGAGATACCGCGACAGAACCTCACGCTAGTAAAGTGAGTACCGCCCGGCGGCAGTACATGAATTCGCCGCCACTCTCTTCAAACCTTCTTATCATTTCGGTAGAACAGTTACTTTTTATTATTATTAAAACCCATCGATCCGTTACCTAGTTCTTGTGGAATATGTAGCATCGCTGTAAAATGTATTATTATTATTTTATTATTATTTCATATTCCCACTAACCACCATTCGGTGGGCATTACAGAGGGAAACACATTGACACACATAAACAATATACATACAATACAGGCAGCGCAGTGCCCTGTCATTCATAAGCACGTATAACGAAATCAAAATGCAGAACAAAAGCGATTTTCTATAACAAAAAGTTTGATGAGACAGCGAAGCCTCATGAGTCGTCATCGTCATCGATTCTCAAACGAGAAGGTATCGTCTCGGATAGCTTGCACCTAAAATACGTTATCCGAGGGTATTGTTGATTGCATCTGCAGTGCTGCCTTCCGCAGCCTGGTAGTTGGTACTTAGCGAGTTTTCTTTAGCTAAGTTGCGATTTTTTACTAACCAGAGGATAACTCGTTACTTCATATGGTCAGTGCCATGACCTGAGCTAAGAAAGAAGTTGATACCAAAAGAGATCTGGAAAAGTCGCCAGGGGTCATCTCCCTAAGGCTTTTCACAGACAGTGTAAAAACGGCGACTCTGTGTAGCGCCGTTTAATTGGTCATATATTCTATACAGCATCTAGTTATTTGGCATTTTTCCTGAAAAAAAAATATTAAAGGAAATAGTTCACTTTCACGAAATTATTTTTTTTGCAATGGATTTATGATTTTTTATGTTCAAAATGATCAGCAAAGAAAATAAAACCTATTTATAACAAAAGATTATTTTCTATATTTTGATATAGGAAGAACTTTTCAGTCTCTGTAAGGCACCCGCGATCCAGTATGAAAAGAGCATGGGTCCCGAAAATTCTTCAGAAACTAGAGAAACTATCGCGGCCACCGGCATTTGGGCGATCTTCTGCTGCTGAATGTCCTTATTGATCAGTACGAGAATTTCTCTAGAGTTCTCGTAGATAATTTCTCTAGTTTCTGAAGAATTTTCGGTACCCATGCACTTTTCATACTGGATGGAAATATATGCAAGGCACACATCCTCAAAGCAAGACACCTTTTTCGGGACGAGAAATAGAATATCTTTGCCTAGGGTGATCGTTGGGCTGTAAAAGCTCCTGATTTATGCTCGTCTCAGCCCAGGCTACGGAACTGCTATTCCAGTTCAAAACCCATGTTAAAAAGTGAACTATTTCCTTTAAAGCCTTAGCGATCTCATGTCAGGTTATCAGTTTTTTTTTTATAATTATCCTGAAGTCTAGAGGTCGTTCGTTTATAATAGTCGTAATGCTGAAAAAATGAAAATGGCTAAGATTCTGAAAGCACTGGAGGTATCAACTCTTTTTTTAAACAATTACAGTCGTGAGAAAGGAAAGCGTGTCAGGCAAGATTTCCTGTCCCTGCTTCCTTATTTCGGATAATGCATATCAATTGTTGCCGCAAGTATGTACAATACTGACTTTTTTTTTGCTATATATCCATAGTGTTGGGAGAGAAGCTTTCGTTTCTCTTTTGTTTTTCTGGGTAGCGCGTGAGACTTACCCGCTCAATCATCGATGTCTGCACTGATTACGCCGACACATGCCCTGTAATACTCAATTCCTTTTCACCAGCGCCGTCCACTGACTAAAATCAGGTCAGACCTTCTACATTCATTGTGTGCCAGTATCCTTTAACGATTAAATGTTGTCTTGGTCGTTTTAAAGTGGCGCTCTAAAACATATGATGAAAGGTCTGTAGGTATTTATGTTATCAATGGTGCGTCGTTGGACAAAAACGGGGAATACTACACGCTATAGGTACCGCTTGCTATCCATATTCCATATCATATGCATAAATGTGTATCCGTCTCCCCAAGGCCCACACTGACCCTGGCCGCCGTAGACGTTTCTCTCCAGATATCAATGCTATTTAAACGCGGCTCACTCATCTTATTTTTTCCGAGCCTGGTCCGTTATGAGTGGTGCTGGTGCGGCTTAAACAAAAAGCCTGCACTTGGACAGAAGTCCTCTTGTGCGGATTTGCATGCGCAGAATCACCGCCACGTCCCGGTAGCAAGGCGCGCACGGCCGCGACCGGAACTCTCCATGAAAGCACAATGAGATGGATCTGCATGTGCTGACATCTGGTAACGGGAAGCTCTACTTGAGGTTCGTGGAAGTGCCGTCCGGCCGGGATCGATCCCCTGCTCGGACTCCGGCAGCTGAGGCCTTCTGGCCGGGAGGCTGCGGCACTGCAGCTCGAATTATACAGCTCCGCTCCAGCGAGCCGGTCCAGACTCCAGAGGTCATATGTTCCTCGGCTGGCGGCCGCCGCCGACAGGGGCACTCCTGACAATCACCGACGAGGGTCACTCCGACAAAAGTCGCAAGGGGCACTCAGGAAGCAGTCCCCTGTGTAAGCCGACAGCGGGGCTGACTGGCATAAGCTTTGTGCTGCAGACAGCATCAGTCGTACTGAGAAGACCCGACAGTACCAATGACAGAAGCAGGCCGACATAAGCCGACCGTCAGCCGTTGCTGACTGTGGCCGGTGACCGGTCGTCCCTCGGGCTCGTACAGACTGGCCGTACCCATTGACATGCGGTGGCGGGCAGCGGTGACATGCCACGGCTGCAACAGCTGAGGATTATGCTATTTCGGAACCGGAGGCTCGCCGGAGCGCCGTATAAATAGCCCTAATTCGCTCAGGTGGCCGACCGTGCCCGCCCTTCACTGAACGGACGGGCGAACTTACCCGAGCGCGGAGCGGCGACAGACTTAACGAGTTTCATCGACACCCTGGTGGCCGATATCACTGGGATGCAGCTGATCCATTCGTCGTTTGCGACTAATCAGGGTCGATTTTTATTGAGGCTTACCTAAGCGCATCTAATTTGACTTGATAGACCAGTCATACTTGTCAGTTGCAATCGTGTCCAGTGACCAGCCCTTGATGTGGGTCTCCATGTGGCTATGGAAACGGAATGTAGGTGCGTTATGTATGCATACATGACACTTACATATACAGAAGTCAGAACCCAGCCCCGGCTCCGGGCCTCACTGAAATGTTCCGGCGGGTCCGCATCCGACTCCAGGGAGTATCCGATTTGATGGGGACCGGGGCAAAGGAGGAAGACGAAGCAGCACTCCCGTGGGATGTTCCAGGAATAACTAATCACGCTCGTTGAAATACATAGTTGACGGAACTTCTAGTATGTTGGGAGGAACGGTGGAGGTGGAAGCAGCGAAATAACAATGCAGCTAACGAATGATTGGTGGAGTTGAGCCAGGAATGACTCTCAGTCCGCTCTGGGTAAAATTAAGCGCCCACTGAAGTTATTTGTGTACATTTATATGTCAATGGCAGTGCCTGTTGCCAATATTGCATTTGTCTCGATTCTCCCTAACACTTAATTCCAGACAAATGCAGAGATGGTGATAGCCGTGATTTTTCTACATAGTTCGATGGGCAGGGGAGACATGCGCCCATTCGTTGCAGTGACACTGGACTCTCTGTTTCAGGGAGCTCGGTAAAGGGGCGTTCGGACAGGTGTATCAGGGCTACCTGAAGAACTACGTCAGTGACTCCGTGGAGATGCCCTGTGCGGTCAAGGTCAGTCCCCAGTCAGTCAATATCTGAACATAATCACTATTCAGCCGACTTAAGTCGTCATAAATCAGCCATTCACCATTATTGAGTTGCTTGCTGCTCATATGGTTTGCTGTTCTAAACATTTGCACTGTTTTTAATTTTTATCAGTTGCTTGAAAAGAAAGAACCTTTTCCACCCGATTCAATTCTACTCTTCTTTCGCAGACACTAGCCGAGCTGTCCTCGGAGCAGGCGGAGATGGACTTTCTGATGGAGGCGATGATCATGTCCAAGTTCGTGCACCCCAACATCGTCCACTTTATCGGCGTCAGCTTCGAGCGACACCCGCGCTTCATAGTTTTGGAGCTCCTCTCTGGCGGCGACCTGAAGAGTTTTCTGCGAGAGAGCCGTCCCACACCGGTGAGTGAATCGCCGCCATCGGTTTGGAACGATTATAAACTGGTTGAAATTAGTCAGTGTGTGCGCGTTGCAAAGTAACCTGTATCTATAAAGGATGGCTTGATAAGAAACATTTACATGTCTACTCAATTGCCGGTAAATGTGTATTGGGATACAATTACATAAAGAAAACATATTGTTTGCTGCATAACGTAAAAAGCGAACGAACTTATGTGTCGATGAGCATGATGAATATGATCATGGAACTTAGCTGCTGGGACAAGGCATTTTGGGCATGGGATAGACTTTCAAAATGCAAATTGCTTTCGGTAGTCCCAGCACAGCTTTTGTAGGCACCACAATTTATTTTTTACGTTTTTTTAATCGAACGGCACCGCCCCTATTAGATATATTACACAGTTTTTTGTTATCTTCATCAAGTATGGTCGCTTATGAATTATTTCTCTATATACAGCCAATATTCATCGGGCAATAAATTGACCGAACATCTTTCCTTCACTTCCGGTGGCCTGACCGAACCGTTTTCTTTGGCTGACAACTCACTGGGAATAAGCCAAGATTGCGCTCATTGGAGCGAAAAATAAGTCGTCGACCTCCGTCCAATAGCCCTCTTACTGTCATCTATCGTTATCCTATCAGAGCCTTTTACCTAGCATTTATGTCGTTACGAATCTTGGAGCTTTGGTTACTGCTAGTGCTGACAATATCGTGATCAATACGACTGACAACCGTTCTGCGCAACTGCGCTGTGTGGGCGGCACATTAAACCATTGTTTCCATATTGAATTACCGCGCTAAGTACACGGCGGAGCGCGGATTTCCGGCGAATATGACGTCTCCTGTCATCGACGACTCTGCAGATGTGACTGCGACATATCGGGTATCCGTCCGGCTCGGGTTCGGTTTGGTATTAGCACTGGACTCGGAAGGTCAAGGGGGTCCGGATTGCGCTGGCAGCCTCCCACGCTCTCTCTCGGCTGCTCGCCTGCATCGCCCGCCGGCGGGCTCCGGCGACCCGGCGACCGGAAGTCGCCAGCTTCCGGTCGTTTCCGGGAGTCGTCGGAGTTGAGAGATCCGGTGTCAGTGACGTCACGAGGTGATGTCACGGCGGATGGTGATTGCTCTGAACAGACTCGCTCGACCTTCGGCTATGAGGCTGCTGGCTGGTTGGCCCGGCGCCTTTCCGGCTGATGAATAGACCTTTGGCAGATCAGCGAGGAGAGGGAGGGAAACCATTGATGGTCAGGCAACCGTGAAACCGTGTGTGGCCAGCGTGCCACCCATGGTTGGCACATAAAGGAGTGTGGTCACCTCCGGCATTGGCCTGAAACGGAGTTATATATAAATTAAATTATCTATTGATTTTCGTTTGGACTCAACTATGAGCCAATTACTTTTCAATTGCAATTCAACTGTGTGATCAATGACATGATCTTTTCACAAAATTGGTGATGATTGCATTATCGCAACACCAGCGCCGAGGCCATTGCTTTTGTCGAACACCATTAAAAAGCACAAAGGACAAATTACTTATTTGTACTTAAATGATGGTCTAGTAAAGCACACTTCTTAATGTATGCTGCCTACCTATATTTGTAATTATGCGACAATTTACTGTTATATTCCGTTTCTTTGATAATGAAAGTGTATGATGATTACTTTGCTACTTTAGATACCATATTTGGAGTGGGTTACCTATTGCTCAAACTTTGTTTTGTTGGCAGTAGCGGCGGAACACCCTCAATTAAGGGGGGGGGGGGCACTGCCGACTTTTGGTCCCATTCTTTCCATTGCAACGCCCATAGGGCTTATGTTAAAATGCCAAAATCAAAGGGGGCACGGTGCCCCGGAGCCCTCCCCGTTCCGCCCGGCCTATGTTTGTTGGGTTAGGCCCTTTCGGTCTGACAAGACCATTTCAGAGCCGGAAGGATGAGAGGAATTAGGTGAGACATTTGTCTGGGCAGTCACCCTAGAGAGTCACCGGGGCTGAGCTGAGCCTGGCCCGAAAGACAGGCCGACCAGTCCCCCAAGCACCCTCTGCACCCGGCTAAGGGTGTGCTCCCTCGGGAGCAGCGGTGCCGCTCCGAGGGAGCAGCCCGCATGAGATAAAGGTGCCTGTCCAGCCTGGAGTGGGGGTTGCGGCGTGGAGGAGAAGGATTTCTGTATCCTGAGGATGGAAACGACGGAACGGAGGGTTGTTCAAACTGTTGCTGGCTCGTGGAAAACAGTGTGTGGACAAATGCTCTAATTCATTCTAATTTCTCTTTTCAGGAGCGGCCGCCGAATCTAAAAATACATGATCTCCTTACCTGTGCCATCGATGTGGCAAAAGGGTGCGAGTATCTGGAGAACAAACGCTTCATCCATCGAGATATCGCCGCTCGGAATTGCCTGCTGACCACCAAAGGCCCTGGAAGAGTGGTGAAGATCGCGGACTTCGGCATGTCGAGAGACATCTACCGGTGAGTTGTCGGAACTACAGCTTAGGCGTATGTCCGCCAGTGTGCTGCGATCGGGTGATGTGCTAAGTGCTAACTGCCCGAGGATGGTTTGTGAGCGTTGTTTGGTATGGTATGGGGTAGTGGCATATCACTAAATCGTCACTTTTCATAGCTGATTTACATTACCCTTTCCTGACCTGGCCTTGGACACATACCTACCTACAACCTACCTACCTACCTATAACCAAAAACAGACACATCGTTGAATAAACTAAAAACGCGTTTTTCATAAAAATATATGCTGAGGTATAGTTAGGTATAGTTAACTTCTGAAGGCCTCGTCTCGGAGTATCGACTTGGCCAAACTGCTAGACACTATACGAGCTTTTTTTTCGAGCTACTTATATGATGCATGATTGGTTGATTTTCAAAGGGGTTTTATTCTGGGGCAGAGGTCTGCGCAATGCGCATTAACACTGCGAAACGCTGGAAACCCAGAGGAGGATGTGACGATGAGATCGATTTTTGGGAGATGAACCCATCTTGAAGATAATGGTAAATGGTGACCTGTAATCTAGGATGATCTTTGTTTTCTTTGTTGTGGAACGTCCTGCGCCGACGTCCGACGACAAAAAAGTTGCCTAAATGCCGTATAGTTTTCAGCTTTATTGAAATTAAACGCATTTAACAATTACCTACCTCATCAAGTAGTATGATGCTTTTGCCAGGCTCCAGGTATACGCTTAATGTCCTAAATAACTAGTAATGTTTTTCTAAAATTTCTTCCCTGTATATTCTGTAAAAATATAACCAGTATAACGCCTTTTGGGGCGATTAACGGAGCGAGCGAGAGAGTGGGCCTTGCACGTGCGAAATTGCGAGGGGGTACCTCCAACTGACTTGTGCACGGCACCCTACTAACCGGTCTCTAGCGATGTGCCAAATTTGGGCACAATTGGCCCAGCCGTTCTCGAGATCTGGAAGCGGCACCCTGCACGTGCGCACGTGCAAAATGGGTCCCAACTGACTTGTGCACGGCACCCTACTAACTGGTCCCTAACTGTGTACCAAATTTGAGCGCAATCGGTCGAGCCGTTCTCGAGATCTGGAAACGACCCCTGCACGTGCGCACGTGCAGCAGCACCCCAACTGTGGCACATGGATATGCAGTGCCTAGTGGGTGCCTACCTACATGCCAACTTTCAGCGCAATCGGCCAAGTAGTTACCGAGATATTGCAACAATTACAAAACGGACACCTCTTCGTTTTGCACGTGGCACGTGCATAAGGGGTCACCCACATGCATCAGGAATAGTCCAATACTTGGTAGAAGGAATGAAGCTACCCTACAAAAATTACCGCGTGTAAATCGGTCAAGTGGTTGCTGAGATATAAGCCTCCCAAAAGCGTGACCACGGCCGGCCGGCCGGCCGGCCGGCCGCTCATACTCAGAAATTTCCGTTAATCTAAGGAAAGACTACGATCGCTTCGCTCGCTCCGTAACAATGTAATCAATCAATCAATCAATTTATTATGCGTCTTTTCGAGACAAGATAAAGCATACAGTAAAACATACGACACAATATAACAAAAGATAAACACTCATCACGACGCAAAGATACAACATCGTAGCAGAATGCACAAAGCAGGTTAGGCGCACAAAAGCCTCAGCAGGCGACGGGACATAACTGTCTGACTAGAATTTAGCACGAAGCGAATCGAGTCGACCAAACCGTCACCTTCAGTCGGGCTACTTATAAAGCTAGGGTCAACATGGCCCCTTACAGTATCTAGCACGCTCTGGAAAGAACAGTTCACCAGGGTGTACGCGAGGTGCAAGAATGTTCCGTGTAAACGTTCAGGCTCAGTTGCTAACACAGCTAGTTCACTTAGTGCTATGTGCTTAAGTCTATGATCATCTCGGAATATTCCCAACAACGCGAAAACCACCGCGCGTCTGAGGATTTCTTGTATCCTGGGAATTTTTAGAGCAATAAGCAGAGCAGAATGATGTGCGTATTTTGACAGACCAAGGGCAGCTTTGATGCAGCGAGACTGGACGCTGTCCATGGTATCAACATCAGTTGAGCGGAGAGGAACCGTATGACATCCAAACATAAGGGCAGGGACAACCACAGTTTTCCACAGGAAAACTTTGTCAGCAGGTGAGAGACATTCACTGAGCATACCGGTAGGAGTCAGTCCATAGAAAGCTCCACGAGCTCGACTGGCGCGGTGCCGTACATGATGTGAGCCGTCAAGGTCCGCCGACAACACAACACCGAGATGTTCTGTCACTGTACGTACAGCAAGCTGTTGTCCAGATAAGTGCCATACAGGTAGCACAGACAAAAGTTCGGCACCAAATACGATACAGTGACTTTTCGTCTTCGCAGGATCCACATGAACAAATTCCAACCTCCAAAAACCTGCAAATTCGCTGACTAGTTTCAAGAGTTTACCTAGGTCTCCCGCATTGGTGGAGAGCAACATGAGGTCATCTGCGTAGCAAACGGCGGGAACATGGTAGCCAAACATAAATGCTCCACATAAGCTGACATCAAGTGTGCTAATAAGTGGCTTAAAATACACATTTGCAAACACCGGTGATAAAATGGCTCCCTGTCTTGTCCCTCGTTTGATAAGGAAGCACATCGATCTACGCCCAGCATAAGTTACAAAACTTTTTAGACGTCTATACCACATCGCAATCAGATGCCAGGACCGGGGGCTCAGAAAATCCTTTAGGCGAAAGAGTAGACCATCGTGCCATATCTTATCAAAACATTTCCTAGCGTCTAAATTTGCTGCAAACACTGGAGAGTCTCTCTGACGATGCCACTGCACGGTTTCAGTAACAAGCATTGACGCTTCAGTAGTGCCACGGTTCTCTATAAAGCCAAATTGCAAATCACTGGGCGAGAATGATTCGGTTAACTCAGCCAGTAGCAGGCATTCTAACAATTTCGACATTGTAGTGGTGAGAGATATCGGTCTATAGTTGTCCAAGCAGTCACGGTTCATACCCGATTTCTTTACAATTGGTTTCACAACGCTGACAGAAAAGGCATCAGGGACAGATAAAGTGGAGTAACACGCTGTGAGGAGATGAGCGATTGCAATGAGCAGGGTTTGGGATCTACCATATAATAGATGCTCCACTGTGACGTGGTCTACCCCAGGGGCTGTACCACGCTTTAACTGCTGAATCAGCCCACATACATCATCAGGAGTAATGACACGGGTCTCGGAGGAATCACAGCCACTCGAGAGACGAGCAGCAACAGCATCACATATGAGCTGTTGGGCAGGGCTCAACTGCGAACCATCATCCTGGCTGATCGATCCAAAGTGGTCAGCAAAATCATCAGCAGTGAGATGACTTTGTCCAGGCTGCCCACCTCTTCTCACAGCATTGACACGACGCCAGAATGCATTAACATTTCGCCCCTGCCGTAGATAGTAATGTGATGTCATAATGTAAAAATCAGCACTTCCGGGACTTCTTTAGAAAGGACATCGGCGATTCCGATCGCACCCGTCGTCGGTAGTCCGTTTGGCTCCGAGTCCGGCAGCCAGGCGACACTGGACATCCTGTTTTCACCGGGTCGGTCGGGAGGCCTCTCCGGCGGGCGCATAGCCACCAGAGCCCGGGCTCCTTGGCCGGCACGCGACACACATCTCACAGCCCGGCACGGGCGTCAGGCCAGGGGTGAAGGAGGTTTTATGCGATACTCGTCCGTCGATTTTAGCCTCTTGCCGTGAGCGACCCGGGGTCTAACCAGGTGGACTGACACACCCAAGCCACATGAATGCGCTGACCAATTAACGAGTGCTACGTTGGGTGCACGATCCCAGCATGTGTCGTATGGGTCTGCCATTTAAAGGAAGGGTGCCACCTTTTGGACACAACGCAGTTTTTACAAGATTAGCCTCACATGAACCTAAAAACCGGCTTCACTTACCTATGCTTGAGACGGTCAGCATTGAATCCGCACGTGAAGTTATCATTTGCGAGTTTTGCTGCCAGCATTCGGGCAGGCAAAAATCTTCAGCACTATTTCCTCGTCGTGTTAAGGGTATTTTATAAAACATAAAATCAGAAAAGGTATGTATAAAAGTTATACTTTTGAAGCATGTTTTATCATTTTGAAAGGGTATATTTTTTCTTTATGGTATACACTTAAGTTTTAAAATTTTAATTGGGAAGTTTTTCTAGTAAGTTGCATGAAGGGTGAAGGGTTCCATAGATCTCTTAAGCATTGTAAAGGAAAAACCTTTACTCGACTTATTTGATGTTCTTTTGACGTATCTCCGCGTAACATGTGTAATCTATATAAATCAAATCAAATCATGTTATCTTCTTCCTTTTTATTTGTTCATCTTTTTGTCTCAGTTGCGCCATCAATGCAAATGGCAGAATGATATGTTGCCATGACAACAGGATATGCCAGCCGTCCTAGCTGCCACATCAAACGACCTTGAGTTGTAGTGGTGATATAAACAACGATCTTTTTTTTGCCAATGTATTAAATGCAATGTTTCGGTTCTTTGTATATTGTGGACGCGCTAACCACGTCTAAAAATTCAAATAAGTAAAATAGATTCATAGAACAAAAATTTCGGAAGGTGGCACCCTTCCTTTAAGTTGGATTTACAGTAGGCTGTAGGCGGGACTACTGACCGCGGAGAACAATTGGTAGTGTTTCCAGTTCACGCTCCGAGTATGCAGAGCTAGCTGATGACACAGCATCAACACAGTGTACATTTATTTATAATTCAAAGCACCTGCAGTTTTGATGCGAGTGACATATGGATTAGGATTTGAATACATTCGAGAAATAGTACGCACTTTTGCTAATAACACTGATTGTATATCTTGTCTAATGGATATTGCAGTTAAGTTAATGCACGGGATAGTACTAGGACAACATCTCTCCGACCCCCAGTTCCCACTCGGCAGCCGGGGCATGCAAGGAGGCTTAATCAGCCGACAGTCCGTGGCTCTAAGCCCCAAACAGCGCTGACCGTGCACAGCAGACACGCACAGAGACCGGCACAGCGCTGAGCGAGGTCGGGACTGACCGCTGACCGGCGCCAACCGGACGTTCCGCCGCAGCGAGACTCGGCGCGAGCGGCGCGGCGCCCATTGCGCCACCAGCGGTGGACGCGGCGCCGGCCCGGCGCCGGCCCGGCGCCCACCAGAGACACGATAGACATCTGGCTCACATGGCTGCCGGACACGATCTAGCCGAGACGGCGGGAGACAGGCTGGTGGCTAGACAGCGAGCGGTGACACGCCGCCGGCGGCGGCCTCTCCATCGAGGAATGATGGAGTGGCCGCCCAGGAATTCAGCCTTCTCTGGTATGCTTGGAGCGAGAGAGAGAGAGAGAGAGAGAGAGAGAGAGAGAGAGAGAGAGAGAGAGAGAGAGAGAGAGAGAGAGAGAGGAGAGAAAGAGAGAGAAAAAGAGAGAGAGAGGGAGAGAGAGAGAGAATGAGAGAGAGAGAGAGAGAGAGAGAGAGAGAGAGAGAGAGAGAGAGAGAGAGAGAGAGAGAGAGAGAGAGAGAGAGAGAGAGAGAGAGAGAGAGAGAGAGAGAGGGGAGACCCAGAAACACAGCGACCCGGCGGACGAAGACAGAGTGGTAGCCTAGTAGAGTTGCAAAGTTTTCCCCAAAGGCTGCTACCGGCACCGCCCCGCCCCACAAAAATTTTCTGGGATACCGGCATGCTACCACGCCCCAAGCAAAAAAAACCGCCAAATTACCGGCATACTAAAAACCTTCATTTTTTTAAACCTGCATTCTTGATTCTAGCTTACCCCTGCAAGATGCCACATTTTGGCAGTTTCAGTACCTACCCCTCCCACCCAACAGCCATCCATTGTCCAACCACAAATACCAGCAGGCTGATTTTGGCTGAGTTGGCCCCACAAATACCCACAATTTTGAAACTCAATTCCAGTCTACAACTGGTAAAATATCACCTGTAATCAAAGAAGTATTGCCTACAAAAAAAACTATTACATTCATAAAAAAGTGAGGACAAAAAGGACTTGAATTACTGAAATGTGTTTTTTGAAGACTGGACAGTGAGCAGTAATCACATTTACATTTCACAGGTGTTCTACTTTTCCATATGCTCCTAAAATTTGCAGGCACCAGCCAAATGTTTAAAATCTAGATGGTCAAAACATAGGTAAACAAGTATACAGATTCGGCCATCTTCTTAGCTAAGGAAGCGAGATCAACATCTACTTTTCCTATCCACTATGGCTTGCTGGTTCGTGAACAAGATACGTATCATGTAAAAAATGTGTTAATAACTCACTGGTCCTGAGAATAGTCACCAAATAATATGTATAAAAACGATATCTTTCATCCTCCCCAACCTCTCAAGCGGGAACAAACACAAGGTACTCGATTTCGAAACAGATGCGCCATAACAGAGGCTTTTAACCAGCTGATTAAAACGCTGCAAAAATAAAAGTTTAACAACTGCAAGCCACTGCCTCGTGAATGATTATATTCATAAAAACTATCCAACACTATTAAATTATAATGAAATCAACATTGTTGTGTAATTCACTATAAAGAAATTCATTTCTCTTCAGTTATTCAACCAAAAGATTAAATGAATAAATATTACGTCATCAGACTACATCCATTCATTAGGGGAGAGAGAATCTTAAAAGCAAATCCTTGGTTGTCTAATTATTTGCGCCACTTTGTGCCAATTTTGCCTGCATGATGTGTTTTCTTGTAAAGATAAGAGCAAAATGCCAGTTCAAATCCATTTTCATGTAATTATGGGACCAAAGTCAGGCTCAGGGCTACCTATTACCTGCCTTTTCAGCTGAATTTTCAGTGTCAAATTCTTTGTAGAGTTTCTCAGACCACATCTCATGATCTCAGGACTCAAGGCCAGTTTCCAAACATTGTGTTTTTTTGGTGTTTTGATTCTGCCTTTTCCCCTAGGGAATGTTGTCATGAACATTTATTCATTTTATTGTGCTATACATATTACCTACCATTAGACTTACTAGTTCATCGTGCTTTTGCAACATGAATGAGTATTCTTCCTTTTATAGACCACAGTAGATTCTTGATGATTCTAATTAGACCCAAACCTGTGAAATGCTGAGGTTCATGTGTTACCCCTACCCAGGCTTCGGTAGGATTGTGATTGCAGGATTGCAAAATCCTGATTGCATTCCTTTTTGGTGGATTGCACCTGGATTTGAAATCCATTAAAAAAAAGGATTTGATTGCGGATTGGATTGCATCATACTTCCAATTTTTGCAATCCAATCCGGATTGTGTTTGATTAGTGCTTTGAAATGGTTTGTTGCGATTGAAAATTATGAAATCGGCTTCATCGGCTTAATGTAATTTGCTATCAAGGGCTTTACATCGAAACTGGAAATAATTTAAACGCTTTTAATTTAAAGGCTCAAAATAATATACGCTGATGAACTACATAGGAAGGGCAAAATTGCGTATTTGAGGGCGAGTTTTAAAAATATAAAACACTGGTTGGGTAGAGGTTTAAATGTGCCGGGGTGTTTGAGGCAAAAAATATTTCCCATAAAATACCTGTGCCTTAGATAGGAATTACTCGCAAGACTAGGTACTAGAAATGGGTGATTTGGGGATGGAGGCACGGCCCTATGCCCCCCTCCCTCCCCCAGATCCACTAGTGCACATAATGATACAACAGGATTGCAAAAAAGGATTGCCGATTTGATCACAGTCCAAGTGAAAAAAGGGGATTGCGGGTCGGAATGCAATCCACTTCGGCACTAGGAATGTGGATTGGGAATGCAATCCTTTCAAAAATTATTTTACCGATGCCTGCCCCTACCCTTAGCAATGGAACTTCTACCACAAAATGTATTTTGCAGTGGCTAAGATTGCTGTTACAACAATTCAATAGCCTCAATAGGACAATGTCCAAAGTTTGAATCATATACTGATATATTTTTTTGTTTGTGCAAAATCAAAAATACCGGCATGCTACCGGCAAGACATGCCAGATACCACGAATAAACCTGCGGTAGTGAAAAATTACCGGCATGCCGGTAGTGCGGTAGTGAAATTTTGCAACTCTATAGCCTAGCTCTGAGGCGGATAACCTAAATTCGACAGTAACATTTTTAACACAACTTCCATACCCTCACAGCATGTCAATCATCAAGCTGACCTTTATTTCTTCCACAGGGCCGACTACTACCGTAAGGGCGGCAGGACCATGATCCCGGTGAAGTGGATGCCGCCCGAAGCCTTCCTGGACGGCGTCTTCACCACCAAGACCGACGTCTGGTGAGTAACATGACCCCCTCTGCAGTCTGCACTCTGTCCTTTCCAGACGATGTCTTCACCACCAAGGTCCAAGACAGACGTCCGGAGGGTGGCTTAGTCTTCATTAAAGACGGTTCATACTGTCTATTGCTCGCTACCTTTAATTTTGCGGCCAGCACTTCTGGACACAGAACGTGAAAGATCAGCATGGAAGACACTAAAAGTGTAGCAATAGAAGACGAATAATGGAAAGAGAAAAACAATTAGCTGATGATTATCATTACGCGAAGGCATCATGCATTGTTGAAAATGAAACTGCTATTCAATTCATTGTCAACATTCCACAAAGCGATACACATCTGATAGTATTTCTTATATGTAGACGCGCAGTTTTCAAAGATTTTCCAGGAGGTCCCAAGTGCATGTCACCGGCCTGGATTCCAGAAGGTGCGATCCGTTCCAGGAGTGTGGTGATTTCCAGCGAAGCGCGACACTGCGCCCCGTGCTGGCGTGCCGGTCGCTACGTCAAAGACGGTGCTCGTGCCGGGCGCGAGCAGCATCGCGTGCCGGTTGTCTGTGGGGAAAATCGACCGCATACCTGTCGACCGACCGCAGGGTGTCTGTGGCTCGGTCAGATACCGACGGGATGCCTGCACGACCTCGGCCACACCCTGCAGTCGGGGTGCTCAGGGAACATGTGAGGGGTCAGTCGTCGAGAGTGGACATTCAGCACTAACGACGCTGTCTCAGTATCCGACGACAGTAGGCGGCAACAGTGAAATGACATGGCATGGCGGCAAAATCGCAGGATTGATCCCTCGGCATTTATAGTGCCACGATGGGACGGTTATTGAAGAAACGAAAATGAGCTCTACATCGAATGTCGATAGCTGGGCTTGCAAAAAATGGAAAAGAAATGCCTAGATATTTCTGGCAACTGGCATCTGCATTGACCGTTTTGTTTGCCTTTTGACGCCTGCGAAGAATTCCGAAAGTAGCACCAAGGCCGAACACCTTCGTGACATTTGCATATATATGCTACCTCGCTGCTGGTCAGTCCGTGTTCGCTGGCTCCCGCATTATGCACGCTTCGTGAGTCTCTGGAATGCCGGCAATCGTTCGGAGATCACGACATGGTCTCCGCTTGGGCTGCAGCCCGGCGAGGCTTTCAGGTCGGCGCTGTCCGCCGCTGTTTACCAGACGGAGGAACGTGGCATGGGTCGGCGTTTGGAGTCAGCGATTCGACTATCGACAAGCAGCCAGGGTGGCGGCGGCACAGAGGACAGAGGTGGCGGCGCCGTGCACGGGGGTGCATGATGGCCATGTCACTCAGGTGTGATCTCGCTGGTCGAGCCTCTCTGAGATGGAAATGCGGTCGCTTACACCATCTCCGTGATGGAAATTCAATCGCTGACACGACATGACGCCTGCGGTGGAGCGTGCCGCGCATGAGCTGGCGTTGGTTGATCAGAGACAACTCTGTCGTGACGGTGTGTCCGCGTCTGCTCACTGGAACTCTCCTATTGGTATTCACTATTCAGCAGACAGGCTGAATAGTGACGGGCCGGACCACCCACCGTCAGACGGTGGGGGCTCAGAGTGTGCCAGCTGAGAACGTGGCGTGACTTTATTCTTGATTGTCCTGTATGGGAGAGTTCAGAAATGTCATTCCAGCGCTTCTGCGTTGGTAAGACTGCCTGAGACGGTTGGTTATTTGGCTTCACAGAATAAAATTTGAGGGTTGACAAATGGGATATTTCGGGTGCAGAGATCTTTCAGGGAAAATGTGCAGGGTAAATGGGATCTTTTGGGTGTCTTCGAAAGCTGGCGGCCCCAAATCGGTCGTTTTATAACCACTGGATGGCGTACATTAGTTGACAGTTTTGGACCGTCTACGTCGATTTTGGGTTTGTTGAAAATTAACGATGCGATGCCTGCGATGCCTATTAGTTTAAGAAATAACATCTCCCTTTTAATTAAACTTGCCCCCAACTTTCACATTTTCACAAGGCCATATAAGAGCCTTAGATTGCCGGCTATTTGTTTACAACCTTTTCCTAACCATCCCTTTATATGCTATAACTTTCAGCTTTTTTTTCGCAAGATGCAAGCGTACTTGGATGGATGTTTCTAATGACCACTGACCATAGCTTGGCTTCCCTGCTTTTTTTGGCATGCGCAGACCTAGTGAATGTCTGCGCAGAAGCTTGTCGATTATCATGAAGCTGTCATTCAGCTGGAGCTAGTGTGCTGGGCCTGGGGTGTTCGATCCTACGCAGTTGGCAGTCGATGAGATCGCGAGACGAATCTCAACATGGCGACGTCGCTGTGCCGATCGGTACCGGCCGGTGTGATGTCATCGATGACGTCAGCAGTGACGTCAATGGCGACCGGCGGCAATAATCTTAGTGAGCTGCAGCACAGGTTCGGTAGAGCTGCGGGCATATCGCGGCATGGTTATGAGTGCCCGCTGCAGCCTACGAATATATTCACTGGACGGATAGTAAAAATGTTCTCTAAATATCATCTAAATAAGTTACAGGTTCAATTAATTTACTTTGTTCTCATGTCATGTAACTTGGTCACTGTCAACAGTTCTATTTCACTGTTATTATTTTTAGGTTATCACATAGATAACAGTAGAACTGTTATCTATGGTTATCAGTATCGCTTACCGATGATTTTTTCATTCCACGAGTTTTATGGTATAATGCATTATTCGGATTCGTAGATTCACTAGCTCCAACATAGAGCATAAGTAAAGAACGCTGTGCGGTTGTTTATTCAAGGCGGCCCTTCGTGGGTTGTATGTTTTTTTTTTAGTGTGTCACGAGGAGAAGTAACTGTAAGATGGTCGATGTGGTTTTGTTCAGCCATGCAGACGAACCACTAATCTCGCTATAGGTCGCCTTTGAAGTTAAAAGGGCATGTTCGGGGTGCACTGCTGTTCCATGATTCCTACGGAAGTTAACCGCATCCTCTGAGATTGGTCATACAATTGAATAATTATTTTGCCAACCGTGTCAGTCAGCCTCACCATCGCTATGAACTGGAAGCATCTTTTTTCCACCCAACAGCGCGTGATGCTCCGACAGTCGGCGGATCTGTGCCCACTCGCGACATCGCGCCCTAATTGAGTCGTGCGGCGCGCTGTCTCACGTGACGAGCACAGGTGCAGGGCGGACACGTTAAATCACTTACGGCCGTGTAAATAGTGCTGTTCGGTGACACGTCGGCCGCAGCCGTGTCCAGTAGACAGTCCCGGTGCGCCGTCAGCGCCGCACCGGTCGCCATTTTTATCGGCTTTTCCAGGGAACCGGGACTGGTGTGAACACGGGCTTAGGCTGCCTGTTGAGTGGTAACATGTGACGCGAGGACCGATTAGTATGTGAATATGAGCTTATATGCTGCCTCTTGAGTGTTGGCCTACGACCCGGAGCGATCATTATGCGAATTGTAAATGGAGTTAATCCGACGTGTTTTGTTCTCAGTAATCTAGGCCTTTAGCCATATAACAAGAAAATTGTTCCATCTGCCCACATATCAGTTACATTATGTGTAAGAACTATGTATCGTGTCTCGTTCCCACTTTATTACATTTGGATTCGAGCCAGAGAGCGGGACTCCAGCTATGCCATGGGAGTTTGATCCCAACTTACAGACGTCCCTGGTTGTGGTTCTACCAGCAACTTTGAGGAAGTCGCTAATTATATCCCCAATAGCGGATGATAAATAGGCACAGATCGTCATCTTTGCTGCTATTCATAGATTAAAATGCGGATAAGGCTGCGGCATTGTGGTCACAACTCACAAGCCATTCGCTCTGGAATAACGGCACCGTTTGCTTGTCAACACCGCCCTGCATGTGAATATGCTTTGCGGTCTCGCATTGTTTCCTTGTGGGTACCTGTCATGTCATACAACTGATCGCTGCATCTGACTTTGCAGCCACTGCCGGATGTGTATTTTTGCAACATAAATTTCCCAAAGAACCATATGATGTCTGAGGCCTCGATGGCAAAGTTTGCAGACGGCAAACGGAAATGTTGGAATATTTTATTAGGTTATTTTATTACCGTCTGATGAAGCCGTACCGTGACTGCTGACGCCGTGTCCTGTCTGATGACGCTCTGTCCTGTCCCATGACGTTCCTCCCTGTCTGATGACGCTGCGTACTGTCCGATGACGCCGTACCCTGTCTGATGACGTCTTCAGGTCGTTTGGAGTGCTGCTTTGGGAGGTGATGACGCTCGGCCAGCTGCCGTACCCGGGCCGCGGGAATACAGAGGTGATGCAGCTGGTCATGGACGGTGGTCGGCTCGATTCGCCCTCCAACTGCCCCGCTCCCGTGTACGGCGTTATGTGCCAGTGCTGGCAGCGTGTGCCGGAGGAGCGGCCCACCTTTGCCACCGTCCTCGAGCGGCTCGACTACTGCCTCCAGGTGGGAACGAGCGCGTGTCAGCCGGGCGGGGACTCCTTAAGGATCTCATGTTAGTGGGGATTCATGTCAGCGGCAGGGAGTTGAGTTTCAATCATCGGTTGCTGAGTTATACTGCAGTATACTGCGGGGAGAAGCGATCTGGTGTTGGTCACAGGCACCACCGGTGGACCTAGCATCGGGCCTCGGTGCGTGTCCCGCGCGATGATTGTAATTGTGTCCAACTGCAGTGAGCGATCAAAGGGATATAGCAGTTTGCCATTTTGAGACGGTGGAGCGTGCGAGCTGCATAACTGATCAATCACAGCTGAGATACGCACCGGGCACCTGACATTTAGAGCACTGTTGCAGGAGACCTTTGTCTGTTTGTCGGAGATGATTCTCTATAGTTAAACAGGCAGAGAAGAGAAGGATATCATTGAAGGGCGAACAAATATTTCGGTATTACCCGCGCGTAAATAACCCGAACTGTTAAACGGTGCTGTGCCTCCCTGCCCCCTTCCCCCCAAATATTATTCTAAGGCAGGGGAAAGCTAAAGGCATGCGATTCTGGTAACAATGATTGCCAAATTATGTGGCTTATTATAATGACAGGATGTTAGATGTTCAAACTCCACACATACCATGGAAGACGGATTAAGACATGAATCATTTTTCAATGTCATACACCCACGCATTTTTACAAGGTGATTGATGCATGAAGCATTGTCTAAGGATTATGTTTATCGTTCTTAAGCCGGAGAGCCTGTAAAACATTGCGAATACCATGTATCTGTCAGAGAATAATTGATATTGAATTTGACTTAGAAACAATTAAGTAACTTCCTAAGGGTCATTTATCGCTCCGATGAACACATTTCTGAAGTAACTTCAAGAAGTCAGAAGCAACGACATAAATGTTATCCCGTCTCAGTGATAATCTGGTATACCGATCATGCAACAAAGTCACATCGTTGTAAAAACCGATCTGCAAAATCGGTTTCAAAGCTGTATTTAGGGGGTGACGACGCCGTGTCTATTTAGCTGTACTTTGACCTTACCTCTGACCTGTGGCGGAGGTGACTTGCGGCGGTGACCTGCGTGTCTCCCGTTAAGTGACGCCCCGCTGACCTGCCCCACAGGACCCGGACGTGATGGCCGCGCCGCTGCCCGTGTTCGATCGAGTCGGCTCCACGGACAAGGACATGACGGTGATGCGCCCGTCTGACTCCGAGCCTCTGGTGCCGCTGGACAGCCACAAGCGGCGCGGCGCCGACACGCCCGCCTCCTCGTCCTCTGCCGACTACCTGGTGCCCACGCAGCCCAGCAGCCACTCGCTCAACACGGTGCGCACCGACCTGGCCTCTGAGCCGAGCTGGGAGGACGTGCGCGGCTCGCCCACCGAGCGGCCGCTCGTCTCAGAAACCTCCTTCACGACGCCGGAGCGGAGCCGCGGCAGCGCGTCCTCGGGCGGCGGCGCGGCGGCCGGCTCCGCCATGTCGGGCTCTCCGAGTGGACAGCCACTACTACAGCAGTCGCCCGACGAGCCGCCCGACTGGCCGCCGCCGGCCTCGACGAGGCATCGACACCGACGCGGCTCGCCGGCCGAGCGGGCTGCGCTGCTGGACCCGCTGCCGCCGGCGCCACCTCCCCCGCCGCCGCCATCATCGTCCGCCGCTGCGGCGCCCTCCTCCGACCCCCGGCGCAAGGCCAAGTGGGCCCGGAAACCGAGTCCGCTGAAGCTGGATCCGGGCGGACTACCGCCAAGCTCCGGCGGCGCCACGGCCCGCCCGCCTCCGCCCTACATGAATGTGGGCGCAGAGGGCGGTCTGGCAGCGGTGGCCATGCCACGGACTAGCTCATACGACAAGGCACTGGGCAGGACGGAGCCCTGTATAATCGGCATCTCCACACCCAAAGCGGACGCCGAGAAAAATCCAAACTACAGTGAGATCCACTGCTAGTGGGGCCGGGGCGAGATGTGTGTGATGTGTTTGTGGGACGTGGGACGTTGGACGTGTTCGTGGCATGGTCAGGTCGACCGGGTGCTATCAAACAACTCGTGAAAAGTGTGAGCCGGCCGCGGACCCGCCGTCTTATGCGTGGTTCACACCGGATCCGTAATGACCGTTACGTTCCGTAATGAATACGGTGGCGATTAAAAAATATCTCGAAAGTGGAGGGCACAATCCAACGCGCATGCGTAGTTCGATTTTTTGACGCCGTAACGCCGTAATGGTTACGGATTCGGTGTGCACCGGGAATTGCCATCGCTGAGCGTCACCGTTCGAATCAAGTGCGCCAAAACTCTATTTTGTTTATAGGCAAGCGGAAAATGGACTTAAGTCAAGAGCTGCTTTTGATATCAGAGCGCCAGAATGTAGACTTGTTTTACTCTCTTCCTTTTAATTTGTTAGTTTCACTCTGACATAGCGGTCTACAATTGTATCGAGTCATAACATTGTTAATTAAACGCCGGTGGGCAGAACACTCAACACTGGACGGAGATTCTTGCATTATTTCTTGTATTACAAGAGGGCATGTCTATGCCCGTCAACGCTGAAATTTATTTCTTACATTCTTTGCTATTCGTGGGTGATATGAAAACCAACGGACGCCAGAATCTGTATTGTATACCAATTGCTCGATTGGCTTGCCAAGAGTCAATGTGGATTCAAACATCTTCAAATATCTACAAGTCGAAGTATCAAATTTAGCAAGTAGCGGGGGCGATATGGCCGGTGAAGTTTACTCAGAACTCCATGAAACTCAGAACTCAGAACTCCATATACAAGATACCTACAAAGTAAGCCGTGAGCGTTACACGCTGATGGCATGCTCACAAGAAATAATAATTATTGGCAGGTTGATTCGAGCTAAGGTAAAAGGCCAAAGGGTCCGCACGTGCGCACGAGCAGACCGCTGCCCTCGTCAACATTTGGAAGCTTCATAACTGCTCGGCGATACCTTGGCTTATTCTACCAAAGAATCAGATGCAATTCCAAGCAATCGGAACATGTCATTAAAAAGGGTAAGCACGCGCACGTGTGCAGACCAATACGCTCGCTGACCTGTGTAGTCTACTAATATGCATGGTCTTATTCAGCATACTTAATATAAACTCTGTCGGCCCACCCAATCTGCGGTTATGGAAAAAGGGTGCGCACGTGCGCACGTGCTAGCCAATACCCTCGCTGACCAGTACAATCTGCAGGTCAGCATGGTGTCATTCGGCATACAAAATATGAGCGTTATCGGCCCAGCGGATCCCCAGATATGGAGAAGGGGTACGCACGTGCGCACGTGCAAATCAATGTCTTTGCCAGCCCGTGCAATATGCTCATAAACATGGTGTTATTCAGCATACAAAATATGAGCGCTATCGGCTCAGCCGATCCACAGATATGAAAAAGGGGTACGCACGTGCGCACGTGCAAATCAATGTCTTTGCCAGCCCGTGCAATATGCTTAAAAACATAGTGCTTTTCACCATACTTAATATGAGCGCTATCGGACCAGCCGATCCCCACATACTAAAAAGGGGTACGCACGTGCGCACGTGCATAGGTACTTATGTCTTTGCCAACCTGTGCAATATTCATATTTAGATGGTGTCGTCTAGCATACAAAATATGAGCGCTATCGGCCCAGCAGATCCCGAGATATTAAAAAGGGGTGTGCACGTGCGCACGCGCTGAAGGAATTCAAAACCGTTCAAAGGTCACCGGATGTGTAGTGTGCACCCAGCACAAACAAATTTTGAGCTGTATCGCTTCAGCCGTTCCCGAGTTATGAAATGACGAGCTCTTCTGGAACCTCTCACGTCGCACGTGGCACGCGCTGTAACAAGCACTCATGAGTTTTATGAATAGCACAGTTCCATGAAGAAAGGATGCATCCCCTCTCCAAAGAAGACCGCTCATCAAACAGTCAAACCGTTTTGGAGATACATGCCAACAAAAGTCATTACGGCGGCCGGTCGGGCCGAAAAGTTCAATTTTCCCAACTTCTGTTACGTTCCGTAACGAGTACGATGGACGCTGCCAGTTTACGGCGGCTGGTTGCCACATTTCAACTTCGTCTAGAAAAGTCGCAATGCTTGGGGAATCTTGAGAAATGTCTAGCTCATTACGGCCGTAACGGTTACGGCGTCATTACGGATCCGGTGTGAACCACGCATTACTGTGGAAACGGTGCTGTCTATTTTGATGCTTAGCGGGCGGTGTGCTTCAGTGGTTGGTGTGTCGGGATACCTCAATATGTGATGTGTTGAACGCTCGCTGCCGTGGCTGGCAGGTCTGGAGTTATGCGACACAGCGGTGCGTGTCTGTGTATGTCTGGCTGTTACGTTGGTTTTGCATAGACCCACTGGCATTGCAGGGCGTGGCTCATGGACAATTGGAACGTCGGATTTAATGCCGGATTGTGCAGCTCAGTTATCGGTATTGCGCTTAGATTGCCGTGAGTTTAGTTATTTTCATGCAGGGTATTCGTAATGCCTAGTCGTAATCTGTTGATATGCAGGGTTAAGAGCTTGAATCCTTAGACATGTACGAGTACTTCTACGTCATTTTGCGTTGCCTGCTTACCTGTACCTAAACTGCGGCAGATACGTCGATCGGTTTCTCAACCAGCGCCTATGGGCTCCGTGAAGGTGGCAAGACTCGAGCCAGCCCAGCTGCAGCCCCCGTGAACCCCTCAACATCGATCGGAGCCCTCTGAATTCCATCACCCCCGTCGCGCCTCACCGGCTCTAGATTTCTGTCGAAGGATGACGAAACAATCCGACCGTCCCAACTCTAAGGTCATTCAGTGACCCTCAGTTTTGGGCGCGCTCCAAGATGTCGAATGCAATCAGAAGGGGGCCAGCCAACACGAAACGGCTACTTGTCGTCGCAGGTGGTGATTCACAATGCTTTGTATCCCATAAACAGATGATAGATGCTGTTTTCGGGGGGCGGCTACACCCTGCCAGTGAAGTACTGATGTCCTTGCTCAACATTAACCCTTTTACTGACCCTAACTAGGCCATTAATTAAACATTTTGAATTTAAATTGCTCCAGAAAACAACACAAATGATTACCAATCAACTTTATCATCTTGCTTTCTCCCTATATTTTTGCCCACTTTCTGATTTGCCCCAGCCCGGCTCGGATGTGTGGCATCGGTCGGCAGTGGCGGTGGCCGCTGCTCGTACCACCGTGTCGAGATGATTCGGCGCATCTGAAGCCCGGTGTCGTGCCGGGCGCAGCGACCATCGTCCCGAGCAGGCCACCGCCCGCTGTGGATCGCACGTAACGAGGCTCACCTGACGATCCTGTAGATCCAACGGAGATCCAGGGCACAGCTCAGCACCGCACCAATCAGATCCAAGTGCGAGGAACTCTCTCGTCCTAACGAAGCCAGACGCGCTGTTCGGTTGGTTGATTTTTCGGTTCCCTACATACGAGTTGAGCCTGATGCAAAAACATCCAGCCTCCATCCTGGCCCTATCCGATGCTTAGCCGCACTCTTATCTGTCTGATATCCTGATGTGTTGCGGATCCGGGGTGCTCAAACACTGGCAGATGAGGGGATACCTATGTGTCAGCGTAGCGGCGCTGGGTGTCTTTTTTCTGATTTCGTTGGATTGGACGGTGTGTCTCTCACTGGTGTGTGATATATGTGCGTTATTAAAATCGCTGGTATCACCGAGCTGGTGTGCTTTGGTTTATTTGAGACTGGGTCCTTGTATTTTTGTATTTCTTGCCGAATTATATCGTGAAACGTAAAATGGAAACTCGTGTGGGTGGTGAGACATGGTTCCATACCGCGAAGTTCAATAAGGAACATGTTTACAACACGTTTTGTCGAATGTGCTGAGACGTTAAAAGGGCGACAATGATATTGCAGCTGATATTTTTTATTCGATCTATAGGCAGACGATGCTTCATAATTCTGCTTCCACGCAGGTGCATCGAGAATCAGTGAGTGCGGTACAATTATCGTCACACGACGTGATTGCCTGTAATTACGTTCATGCACTGTATTTTTGTCATATCGCTAGTGAGGTCGTAAAACGCTCTCACGGCAGCTTTGTTGAAATGACAACCACTGGGCTCAACTGGTCAGGTGTTTGTGAACTGTGAGTTGACTGTGCAGTCTGTGTTTTGGGTGCTGTTGACCGCTTCGCCGCGCTGGCGAGCGGTGTACGGCGCAATGAGTACGTGTATCTGTGCCGGGTACTTGTACTGGTACTGAGTACGAACACGTGTACCGGGTGCGTGTACCTCGCCCGACGGTCTGGATTTTGCGCCAAACGACGAGGCGGCTGTGATTGCAGTTCTGTCTAGATGGGTGTGAGTGTCTGCCCGAGCCGGACACCACTCATGTGAATACATAGACTTGTAACGAAACACAACAGTTTGTGCGAACATAACGAACAGACTGCGAAAGACGCGGGAATGATCAGAATAGATATGGCCAGAGGCAGCGAGTTCAGTTAAGCAGATCTCAGTGATGGTTAGAGAAGATAAAGACAGAGAACGGAACGGATATAGGTCCAGAAAACGTATGTGGGATAGAAGGATGTGAGACATAATCGCAGGTTGTTTGAAATAGACAACACTTTTCGTTAGAATTGTTTCTTCTATTGAAAACAACCGAAGCAGTTCGAGGTTGGGGTAGGGGATGGGTAGGGTGCGGGATTTCGGAGACGGGCGAGAAATGGGATGTTGAGCTTCATAACACACTTGAAAACGGATATCTCCGAGGGCCCCAGAACGAACAGTGAGTCCCAGACGGCTTTCCCCGACTGGACTCGATTGGACTGTCGGTAACCGTTTAATTAGATCTCTCGTGTCGCGCCGGCCGACGGAGTTTCCTCGCACCTGCGGTGTACCCGCCACTCCGAGTGGCCCGGCTAGCGTGACGGCATATTTTAACTGTCCACAATGCCAGGCAAAACATCTACCTACACGAAACGGACCCCAGGTGCATCCGCATCAGCCACGCAAAAATGGCCGGCGGGCACTTCAAAGCGGCGCCATTCAGCACTATTGATGGCACACTCAGGTAATTGGCGAGGACAGAGGCCTCAAACAGAAGGTGTAGTTTGATATCTCTTGTATATACATGGCATTACATGATCTGGATTCACCACATAATCAGGACATCATATAGATAATACAAAAATGACTGCCGGGGCGGCCCGCGCCCAGCTGCGCATGCGCCGACGCTCATTAAATAATGACTTTGTACATGTGGGCGGCGACCACTAGCTGTCGCCGGCCCGGCCTGCTGCTGCGGCCCGGCTCATCACATGGCAGCGGCACGGTCGGCCCGCGCCGGCGCTCGGCTCTCACTCTCACTCACAGCTCACCCACTCACCCACTCAAACCTCGTCAGACCAACTCTCTCACGCTCCCACACGCAGATAGCCATATAACCCTTTCAAACACACAGCATCATTTGAAAAACACGAGTCCACGCACAGCGTAGGCAGGCGTCACAATTCATCTCTCCTTACTCACACATAATAGCTCAGCGCCTATCTGAAAACAACAGACCAGCGCACAAACATTGCATAGTTCCGCCTTCAAAAAACATTTGAGCTAGCACGACTCTATAACGATACACAGACGGAACAGGACTAGGTCATGGAAGAGACGCTCGTGCGTCACCTCAGCGCCGCCAGCGGCCCCGCGGCCCACCGGGCGACACAGGCACACCACAGAGGCAGGGAGCTCGGGCGCACAGTCGTCCAAGGGCCACCGTCGGCCCCTCGTGGCCCAATGTCCGCGGCCACGCCGGCGGCAACAACACACGTCAACAACAGCGGGAGTGCGAGCGGCGGCGCCCCGCCGGCTGGCGGCGCGAGCGTCAGCTGCGCATCGTCCGCCCCCGCCCCCGCCCGCGCTGCCCCGCGGACTGGTCAGTTGCACCCGCACGCTTCCACCACCATGTCCTTGTAGTTTTTCAACACCACATTGTCCGAGTGGTCTGTATAGAGCATCGAAATGGCCGACAGCTCTGTGGCCACGCAGCACGGGGATGGCACTGAGCTGCCCTTCTCGTGCACCAGAGTCTGCACTATGGCGTGGTTGGTGGCGTTCAGGTGCTGCGGCAGCGGAAACTGGTTGCACTCGCCCTTGCAGAAGAAGGCGTTGTACCCGTCCGGCGCGACAATCCAGTTGTTCCAGCCGACGTCGGTGAAGTCGACGTAGAGTGTTCGGCGCCGGCACTCGTCGTTGTGCCGTTTGTGCGAGCGCGGGGCGCTGCGGCGCGCACGCGCTCGCGGCCGCCCGTCGTCGGTGAAGGTGACCAGCAGCGGCTGGCGTCGCTGCCAGTCGCCAGCGGCCTCCTCTGGGACGGGCCGCAGCCGGAGCCGCTCTCCGGCGCCCGGCGGAGCCAGCACCCTGACCAACAGGCCGTGGTTGGCAGTGGGCCGCGCCAGCCACCGGCGCGCCGCCGGGCTCACGTCCAGACTGAGCGGCCGGGCGGCTCCGCGCACCGTCACAGTGTCTATTAGCCGCAGCACGGGCCGGCCACCGGCGCCTGTCCGTCGCACCACATCGTACACCTGCACTCGGTGCCGCGCGCGCGCCGCCACCCCCTCCCCCTCGCCCGACGCGTCGCTCTCGACGCCGGGCCACCAGAGCCGCAGCTCGGCGGCGGAGAGCGTCTCGGTGGTGGGCACCGCCGACGTGTTGAACACCAGCCGCTGCAGGTTGGCCGGGTACTTGTGCCAGTCCACACGATCCTCTGAAACAGGGGACGCACACGGTCACAATCGGTTTCCAAATGGCCCTGGCGAACGGCCGAAAATGGCCGCGTTAACACCCTGAGAGCGGGGAGCTGAACAGTCCCTGGCGCGACCCCTGACCGTCGGGCCACCTGGCGCCCCGCTGCGAGTCACTCCACGGTCCCTCGGCCGGCCGTAAGCACCCTCTAATCGGTGTGCTGGCTGTCACATCCCGCTGAAAGTCGACACTGGCGTCGTCCCGTCTGAATGGACCGCGCACAGGCGTGAAGACACCTGGTGTGACGCTAATCCCCGCTGTAATACTCAATCCGACCCGGGTGTGAAAATTATGGCGCCCGGATGGGCCCGAGAGGGCTTGATATTGACTGCCCGGAAGGTGATGGGGGCTGGCACATATGTAATTATTTTATTTTCCACGCCTATTTTGCGTTGAGGAATGTGGGGCTTAGCACGTCGTCATGTAAGCGATGGAGCGTTTGCGTCCGCACAACAGTCGTGACAAGTGGTGGGCCTTTATCCTCACGCCCTTGAGCCCTGAAGACACAACGATTTGAACATCACAGCGGGCTCTCACGACCTCAATGCGCAACAATAATGCACTTGAACTGTATCCGGTGCATCGTCCAGGATGCCCAGCTACGCGACGATTGCGCGAGCGGAGAGGCGTTGCTGCACGCCCTCGACCTTCGTGCCAGCCCGCCATTTGCGAGCCAGAAAGCAAATTATGGTGATTCCAGCACGCAGCCCAAATTTCGTACAAGTGCTACCTTAATCAGATGAGGGTGCTGGTCGGGCACTTAACCGCTTCCCTTCGTGTAATCACTGTGATCTTGTGTGGGAAAACGAGGCAGAGAGCAGACGAATTGCAGAGGCTGCTTTACCCATCACTGAACTGTTTCGTCGTTTAAATTGGAGCTTTTAAAAAGTTGCATTCCATCCAGTTCAGATGTGACGACCTGGGGTAGTTACGACTCATACCTAGGTGACAAGTTTATGACTGTTCCCTATAAACGAAGATGCTTTTGAAAGTTGCCTTTGAAAGGAAGAAAGTTACCAAATAATATGCAATAATTTTAATTTCTTATCAGCCTTACTTCATTCAGGAATCTCTCCGGCACAAAAGTGAGCCTGGTGGCACCCGCATACGGGGTAGATCTTCTCCCCATTCATTCTTCTTTCTATGACACTCCGTATCTAACCCTGACCTCTGACCCGTATCTAACCCTGACCTCTGACCCGTATCTAACCCTGACCTCTGACCCGTATCTGACCCTGACCCATGACTATTATCATATCTGACCCGTATCAGACTATTCGTGAGCTCGACTCTGACCCTGCCCTAATCATCTCTGTCCCTGACCCGGCCATGTCTGACCCCGACCGTTCTTCCGTCGCTGACCCGTCTTCGTCTGCAGCCTTTGACATGTTCTTATAATTAGTGCTACGTATTTATAACAGGCTCAACTATATAGACCATTTCAAATCAAACGCATCTCAAAAACCATTCCAGATGTTGTGTTGTTTCGCAGAAAAGCAGCATAAATGACTGTACCTGCCTAAAAATACCATTACTTGCATCATCTCCATGCAAGTAAAGTTGCCTTATCTCTGCTGATATACCTTATCTGCTGAGGAATCCATGATCGTTTACTCGTCACTTGTGGTTTGACAGTGAGCAGAGTTTTCAACCGACCGAGGTCTCAGACTCGAACGGCGCTTCTCCGTTTAATGACAAATTTAATAAGACCTCTAAACATTCCTTCAGGGCGAGCTGGAGTGACTTCAACGGATCACAGGTGACGAGCACTGACGCACGGTTTCAAATGATATCTCCTGCTTCCGTCCACTGAAGGTGTCCCCATCTGTCCGCAGCCTGTTGCCAAGTCAATTAGACTAGCCTACCCCTCGCCTTGCTTTTAATTGTTCCTTAATGTGAAATCTTTCTGATCGTTTACGTTAATCTGCTGCTGTCCGAGGAGCTGAACGTTCTAGCTGTGGTAAGATGATACTGCTGGGCCATTCCTCGATATAATTCAGCGTGCCCACTCCTGAATACGCAGCCTGAATCTCCTGTCCCCAGGGTTGTGCTCACTCGGCGTGCAGGAGACGCCGCCGGAACTCTCCTGAATGCCTCTCACTCAGAGGTCACTGACTCCTCCACTTGCCCAATATCACTTCCACGAATGGCCCACTGGTGGACTGACCATCCCGCCGTGAATCTTATTCATTCAAGGTCCCGCTTATCCCTTGCCGAGTGGCAGAAGCGCGGCCGACAGCTGCACCGGAGCCGCGGCTCGGCGTCGGCGGCCGCAGCTCCCAGGGTCACCCTCCGCGCGAGCCGGCCGGCCGGCCGCTCCGACCGGCCGGCCGGCCCTCGTTCGAGCGCCACTCTCAACTCACCTGAATGGATGAAACTGCGCACGGTGTTGGCCGAGCCGGTCAGGCGGCCGGGCAGGTTCAAGTCGAGCGTGTTGAGCTCGCGCGTGGTGGTGGCAACTTTGGCGTACACCTCGCTCAGATAGGCGGGCACCTGGGGCCGCGCGTTCGGCCGCCGCTTCATTCCCAGCGTGTGCAGGAATGCGGCCTCGAGTTTATCGACGACGGCGCGCGGCGGCCGGCCGGACGCCAGTTTCTCCAGGAGCGGGTCGGCGTCCGCAGCGGCGGCGGCCGGTCTGCCGAGCAGCAGGGCGCTCACAGTCACCACTAGTGGCCACATGATCACACACGGGAGCGGCACAGAGCGCGGCGCCGTCACATGGCGCGCCGTCACCACACGTCTGGCGCTCTCGCCGACACGGACGCTACTGGTGGCGGCGGTGGCCGGCGCGCCACGCGGACTCGCGCGCCCGCTGCGCCCTGGCGGCGGCGCCGCGCGGCGAGAGCCGTCACCGGCCTCCCGACCGGCCGGCGTCCTGGCAGCCACGCTGGCGCCGGGCCGGGTCGGGTCGGCCGGCCGGCCGGCCGCCGCCGCCGAGCGGCCGGCCGCACGCCAGCGCTGGGGGCCGGGCTGGACGGCAACGGAGCAGGAGCGAAACCACTGAGCCCGAATTGAGCTATTTACTCACACGATCAATTGTCGAGAGACCATGGCCCGAACACGAGGAGTAGAAGCAAGATAATGTTCGCAAGGTTGACTGCAACGAACACATTCATAGCTAAGCACAGTCGACACCAATTATTGACCAGCCAACACCTGGCAAAAGGAAAGGACAACAGATGAACGGACGGCCAATGACAATAATATCAATGCCCCTTCATCCTTCCTCACAATCCGAGAGGCAGCAATGATATGCGGAACAATGGACATGTATTGACGGCCAGGGTATTTTTTGACGTCTTTGGCAGCTCGATGGTTACTCGATGTGATTCGAACACAACGGCCGTGTGATTCGAACACAACGGCCGACAACGGCACATAAATTACGTTCTAACACAAGAACTTGATCGGTAACATTTTACTTCTATATCAGAAACAACAACCTAATTTTGTGCGCTCATTTTTTTCTAACCTTCAAATCTGTTTCGAACAGGACCTTCTGGAGGAGGTGCCATTTTCCAAGTGACTCAGTCCGGATCCCTGTCCCCGTACCGTGCTCGGAGTCCGGACCCATCCCTCACCCGGGACGACAGTCGTAACTCCTCCCTCTCCAGGTGCGGCGGCCGGAGCGGAGGGTCCGCTGGCGACCGCGACCCCTCGGTCGAGCCCAGAGTCCGGCCCGCCCGGCGCTGACACTGACGATTGATCATGGACGGCCGGCCATCACGGGCCGCGCCCGGAGCCCGTTCCCAGCGGCCGGTGACGTGCCGTGCGGCCATCCACAGCGCCCGCCCTCCCACGCTAAACACACACGCGCACGCACACGCCTCATGAGAAAAGAGACAAACAGGTGACAGGGCGGCGGCGGCGGGCCGGGCCGGCGGTCCCAGGTGGCCGGAAGGGGCGGGCCGTGTCCTCGCCAGCCGTGCGGGTACCGAGGGCGGACCGGGGACGAGCTGAGGTATGCCGTCGGACGGACGGACGGCCGCCGGAGGCTCCCGGCGCTCCGTCAGACGAGAGAGGGACGGCCACGGCCGGCGGCGACGGAAATAGGAGACCTCGCGGCCCGGGGAGTGTCGCTCCGGTCCATAACCCGAAGGTTGTCCATGAATGGCCCTGGCACAGTAACTGTGGGCATCATTTTATGACCCAAGGGGTGTGTCTGCACCAGACTTGTAAGCGATTCAACTCTGATTGAATCGATTCTCATGAATCGCTTGAAAATGACGACTCACTGTGATTGAGTCGGTTGAATCACCTCTTGTCACCATATGAATCCTGATTGAATCGGTCACACATGGCAACTGCAAGTGATTGAATCGGCAACTCATCGATTCAAGTTGATTCAATTAACAAAATGATTCAATCACCATGTGCTGGAAATTGAAGCTATGACCATATTTAGTAGGTACTACATTATGTAGAAATATATGTGGTATTTGCATCATAGTCACACACAATGCACTGCAAATTTTTTAGGCATTTTGTCAGTATTATAAATGCGCACAGCTATCATAATTGAAAAAAAACATAAAAATTTTGTTTTAAGTTTTTAACCCATTTATGCCCAGGAATATTGACCATTATGAAAATCGATGAAATCAAAATATGTTATGCTTCTACCAGGGCCTTGCATGGAATCGAAAATAATTTTTGCCTGCAGCAAAAGTTTTTCGAGAAAAACGTAAAAAACGTGCGTTGCGAAATCGCAACGAAGGGCACACCGGGCGCCATCAGCGTTGCGAAAACGCAACGACGGGCACATCAGGCGGCCATAAAGTACACTGAACTGCCGTATATGCTAATTTGTTTTGACAAAACATCAATCAACTGTTGACAACTATTGTTTGAAAATGTGGAACCCACATCCCTCATGCTCTATAACCCGCCTAAAAGCCTCAGTGGGGGAGCATAACTTCAGGATTCGCGAACGGGGAGATGACAACAAACGGTCATTATCAACAACAGTTGTCCATTTAAAGTTGTGGTCGACACGTACCCAGGGTGACGCTTTCTTTTTGGATGCTAGACAGAGCCATTATCCCCACCTATCAGACCCCACACTGAAAACAATTAAACGGAGGTTTGGAGTAAACCAGTGCCTCACATAAACGCGTATCCGCAAAACCACTCTCCTAGGATTAAAATTAAATTCCATTGCAGGTTAGTCGTGCCCACTCTCAGCAAAAAAGAGAAAAAAAAAGAACCGATCCGGCTTTCACAAATTACCCGCACAAGGCGTAGCGCATCATAACAACTCGCCTCCCAGTTTATCACGTTTAAGCCTGAAACAGACTCTTTCCGCAGTCAGGAAATCGCATGCGAGAGCCTATTCAAATACATGGAAGCACGCTCGCATCAATCGCACGCACCTCCCGCAAGCGATTGATGCGAGAAGAATTACAATGTATTTGAATAGGCTTTCGCATGCGATTTCCTGAACGCGGAAAGAATCTGTTTCAGCCTTTACACCTGATCGAAAATTTTCATGGCCCCACTATCAGCGACCTTCAAGTGTAACCTCTTTCTCGAGGCAATGCCAGGGCAGAATGGTGATTCGACGCAGTGGCACACTTTCCAACTGTTTCGTGAATCCGTCCTTTCCATCTTCAGGATAGTTGAATCCTTCTCCACGCCTCAACCCCCTTTCCGGGCTGGACGGGCAACTATATATGTATTGCATTCGGGCAGATCACAAAGGAGCACGCCTGTAGCCGGGTGCAGTGAGTGCTTGGGAGGGAGAGGGGGGCTGGGTCATGGGTGGCCTGCCCACTGGTTGGGCTCAGTCTTAGGGTAACTGTGGGGAAAACGCACCCCTGGGTTAAACGCCTCCCCTAAAAAAATCGTAGATCTTATCGACGGATAGGTGTTTTATCCTGTCTTTCAGAACAGTCAGCTGCTTGTTTACGCAGTTCTCTATTTCCGGTTCTGCGTCTTGAGGAGCAGCGTGGGTAGGTGCTGATGTTGGTTTTGGGTGTTGTTTTGGTTGTTTTTACAGAAGATTCCTAAGCTTTTGATGCCCTCTTTATATCACAAAACTTGCTATTGTGCACATCACTCAAAACTGCGTTTTATTGTCATTCTGTTGAATTTATTATGCTGCGGCGTAAATGGCGCGTTTTTTGTCAATATTTTGTTGACCGGATATGGAGTGGATGGGGAAAGACGCCTACTCGATGCATGGGGCAAGACGCCCCCAGTGTTCTGAAAGGGGGGCGTTTTGCACGGTGGTGAGAGTGCAGGGTAGCGCCCTGTAGGTCGGGGCCGAAAAGGCCACTCCCTGTCCTTTTTTGCTGATATATCCTAAACGACTGCAGATATCGTCACCAAACTTTCAGGACTCCTCCGGGCATCCATTTTACACATTGCAACAACATTTTATTCCAAAGGCTATGATAGGTTGACCACAAATGACGTCAGAATGACGTCAAGTTCTGCCATGTTCATCATTTTCTGTTGATGGATGGGTGGGGGCGCTTTGCACATGGGTGTGGGCGTATTACCCAGGGTGTGGGGCAAAACGCCCTTTTGTAAGGGTATGCGGAAACCTTTTTGGGGGGTTAAATACCACACGCAAGTGTCTTTTCTTGGTCTCAAAGCGTAGTAAAAAGAATGAGCTACATGATGGTGCCCAAAGGTTTGAGTAATCTGGGTTGGGTTGAGTGTCAGAAGGTTTCGCGCTTAATGGGGGCGTTTTTGACCTATTCACCCTAACGATTCCGTGCCCGCTTAGACAAATGCCTCCCCTAATTCCAATAATACTGCTGGCTCTAAAATGGTCTGATTCGATAAAAGGCCTATCCTAAGTAAGAAAACAAGCGTGTACTCCATATCAAGTAGCTTATTTATCTATGCAACTTGCAAGTTATGAATCCTAAAAATGACTATTTTCCCAGACGCCCTCATTACCCCTGCCGAAGGGCTCTGCTTCCCACAGAGGGGGCCTATCCCACTATTTGCCGACCCTCAGTTATTTTTTCTAACGTAAAGGTTGGTAGTCAGCAGATGGTATCCAGAGAATGGCAATGCCTATCTGTCGTCTGATACCAGACTACATCCCCGTTATTCATTATATACTATGTACATTGTACAATGTATGTACATAGTCGATCCAATTTCCAAAGGACCTAATTATCTCTCAGGTCCGTTAGCATCGCCGACCGTTTGATGCAGGTCCTCTTCCTACCATGCGATTTTCAGATGTATGGGAACACATTGCTTAGTGAACGAACTTCCCGATAATCTGTGAGAGAAAAAGAAAGGAGTGTTTGTAGCTGTTAGAGGCAGTAAATGTGAAATATGTCGCAACATTTTAAGTGCAAACGCACCTTGCGCTTAACATACCTATACGCGTCCCTCATGACTACAAAACGAGAGAGAGAAAGAGAGAGAGAGAGAGAGAGAGAGAGAGGGAGAGAGAGGGAGGGAGGAAGAGAGGTGGGGGAACGAGAAAGAGATGGAGGAAGATGGGAGAGAGAAAGAAAGAACCCACAGCGTATCACGAGTGAAGTCTATTGTTGATATTCATACTTTCCCTACCCTACCAATGTGCCCCTCGTTGCGTTTTCGCAACATCGCTGTCTTTCCGATGTGCCCTTCGTTGCGTTTCCGCAACGCCACCGTAGTCATATTTGAAAATTGTCACAAACCCTTTTTGCAGCATGATTTCTTAACAAAATGCATATCTAAGCTATTGTAGGGACTCTGCAGAATATGTTTACACAATCTTCATTACGATATTATTAAGCACTTAGCCTATTTATCTTGTTTTTCGTGACGTCATCACTCACA